ACACACACACACACACACACACACACACACACACACACACACACACACACACACACACACACACACAGATGCACAAGTGAAGCTGTTGTTGCCAAATGAGGTGAGATGGATGGGAGTAGCAGGTTATTTGCAGAGAAACTCCAGCATGTCAGTTAAATCCTCTCTGCCTCTGAGGCCTGTCCTATCCCCATTTAGCACGGCCACAGCAAAGGGCAGGCTGGCATGCACACTCCCTGGCAGTCGGACAGTTCTGAGAGGGTCGCAGCCCCGGCCAGGTTCACTGCTCTGACCCCAGCTCAGCCTGCGAGCCGCCCACCACCACCACCACAGATTCGGTCTGCCACGTCTCTGCCCAGCCCGGGAGCCTGCTCATCAGATGTGCCCCGGCCCAGCACTGGCCCAGCTCTGGCCCAGCTGCCCACCATGTTAAAGGGCCAGGGGCCCCCTGCCACTCAGTCCATCTGCCAAGCTGCAGAGCCTGGGATCAGAGAGGAGAGAGACACAAACACCAGACAACCTCGCTCTTCGCTCTCAAAGCACAACAGAGAAATGCCAGATAAAAAGATCCACTAAATATGTGCTGCCCTCAACTTATGTGGGTTGATGCAAGCCTGAAATACTGCTCAGTTTATTCAAGTGAATACAACTGCATTGTAATGATTTCAGACTCAGAAATTCCTAGCCTGAGATATGTTCGAGATTTACAGCAAGATCTGCATAGCACAATCATTAATAGAACATCTGGCCCAAGTGGAGCATGACATGCTCTGAAAATAGCTCAGCTTTCCCTGTATTGATCTGAGAGAGGTGTATTTGTAGATAAATACATGAGTAAAGAGCAATATGAATCTAAGAAAGATAGATAGATATAGATAGATTTATCAGAAACACATGCTTTGATGAGACATGCAGCTGTATTTAAGAATGTTATCTTTCATGCAGGATTACGTACGAGTGTATTACTTCTAAAACATATGCATATTAAATAATCTATGACCACAGCTTTCTGCTGTATGTTGAAGGCGTGAGGCGATCAGTTCCGATAAAGGTCTGCGCCTCGCTCATTTCCATACGTCTCCCCTTGATCAAGTCGCCTCATTTATCGTCCAAATCTGCGTTGACAAGCCTTTACTTATTTTCCCAGCTGCCGCGGGTGATGAGAGTGTAATCAGAAACATCATTAAGGCCTCTACATAGACGGCTGTGCCTGTTAGTCCTCTTACCCACACCCATAATAACTGAGAAAATGCAAATCAACTCCAGGTAATCTATTAATGTCACTTCAATTTTATGTCTGCGCTCCAATTTAGCAGATCTTGACACATTTGGCTCTGATCCGTGCTTTCATACAGGTACTCATTTTGCGGGGGTTTCGGAGAGCACGGCCCGCTGATCGAGGAGACGGGCCATCTGTCTGCGCGTCCGCTTATTAATCGCCCTGATAATGAAGTACACTCACACTCAACACTCCCGAGGCATCTTTCGCACGGGCTCCATCCGGCAAAACAACTTTCAGCAAGTTTGTTTCGCAGTGTAGCAATTATTGTCATGTGCAGCCCCCCCCCCCCAGCGAAGGGAGGATGACCTCCTCCTAATTACCTGAAGCTTCTCTTCAAGCAGATTTTGTAATTTCCAACTACATCACAACCCCCTTGTTAGCTGCAGAAGGGGAGCAGAGCCTCATAATTCCAGCATATGGTGGGCAGACATACGGGGGGAATTTGCTAGCTTGTACTGGCCTTAAAGTCGAAGACCCCATTAACAGGAAAAAGAGGTCTACTAATCCTCGGAGATCTGTGCTATCCCTGCACATGAATTCCAATTCCTATCATGGCTAAGCTTTTACAAATACGCAACACACTCACTTGATCATGGAGTGAATGGGAAACATGATTATCTATCGGATATGAAATTAAGAATACAGGGGAAATATGGAGAGGTAGAGTAAATATCAAATATTAATTAGAATTTATATCTTTCAATTAAAAGAAACCACACTGTCCTTACTTGTCTGAAGATTAGGGGCAGAGGAAATTACAAAACTCATGGATTTATATGAAACGTAACACAAAATCTAATAGATAATAAAAAAAACATACGTGGATACATTTGCACTAATTATTACACTTATATTAACTATGATCAAATGGGTTTAGGGAAAGGATTGTTCATAATGAACCAACTCAGCAGATACTTCACAACTGTCTCCAAAGAACCGACTTGATATACTACTAATTTGCATCAACAAATACATTTTGAAGGGACTGAAATGTATAACTGAATAATCATTTAAGATGTATTAAATTGACGTTTTTAGCAAGTAACAAAGTATAAATGGTCAACGATTGTGGTCTTGGATTAATACAGAAAGATTCTGCAATGTGTGTATTCATATTTACTGTAACTGAAACTAAAATATGTTCCCAAACCTTAACCAAAGAGCTATGTATAAGAGATTTCCCGCCCCTTAACCTATCAGAATCTGTTTGAGCGCTATAAGCAGGGTGTTACATAGTGATGTCATTATGTAATGGAAGTAGAGTCCAATGGAGGCGTTTCAGGCTGGGGGAACCTTTGCAGACCCTTTACAGTTAAAAAAAAAAAACCTATATAACACACTACTGGAAAGGGAAATCCCCCAAAAACAGAATAGGGCCACTTTCTAAAGCTTTAAATCACTAAAAAGAATAAATATACAAAAGTATAGTTCTTGAGGTACAGGCTAGTATATTGCTACAACTTATCCTTTTAGAACATAGAAGAAGTATAAAGCAGCATTACATGGACAAACTACTTCTACATTTTACTTAAGTACAGAACTTGAGCAGATTTACTAAATGTAATAAATAAGTTATTTTGTATCAATTGTTAGTTACCTCCCTACATTTCCATTGGGTGGTGTTGGACTTATTTATGTAATTGCTTATGTTTTCTGTATTTGCAGCACATTCACATTTGCTATAGTTACAGTATACTGAGCTCCCCGGGCCACTGCACTCTAGCTTGTGTCCATCTGTTCATCCATTGTCTTGGTTTGACATCCTACCAATTCATTTCCAACCATGGCAGGCAGCTCCTAGTTAGCTAACATAGTGGAGCATTTAGCATCAAGATTGCTTATTTAACCATTTCATTGAATTCAATTGTTTTGTGTTTTTTTTTGTCAAATTCGTCAAATGCCCAGAAAAGCATCTTGTCTGTGTCTGCTGAATAAATAATTGTGTTAAAAACAATGTTATGTGTTCCACTGGCTTATGGATTTGGATAGAAAAGTAACAATAGCAGTTTTCACTTATTACTAAAAAGTGGGCATCTTTCAAGATGCGTTGTCAAACAGCACCATTTAGTAACACCCCATCAAGCACAGCAGTCATGTATTTAGACTCCTTACATTAATACGCTCAAACTCAATTCCGACTTCCTCCAACACCACCTCTGCTCTCCCCTTCCTCTCATTGTTGCACTGTACTTTGAGAAACCATCCGCTGAACAATTAGAACGGTAGTCACCTCCATTCTCAGGGAAATGAAAGTCAGAGAAAAGTCACGGAGAGCCACACGTCTTATCCGACTGGGCCTTTTAAAAAGGGAGAACAAAAGCTCTTTCTCCTTCATTTCCCATTAACCTCTATGGTCCTCCGCGAGCAGGAAACATGGCGACCTCGTGGCCCATGTCACATATCTCATCCGGCTGTGCGGACCTATGGGGGGGATGGTGACATTCAATGAGAAGGGCTTTGTACCTATCCGTAGTCCTTGGCAGATAAAAGGTGGGTGTTGATATTTGTCCCGGGTTTGGCTGATATACCGTGGACACACTCCTGATAAGCGAGGAGCTGCTGAGACATTGATGAAGCCTGGAGTGGAACTGACAAGTGGATAACATCGACAGGAGAAGCAGCCGTTACGGTGCGGATTAGATTTTTGATTATTCTACGCAGGAGGGTTCTCGCTAAGCAAAATCACGTTCTCAGCATTGTCTGAATGCAATACCAGACGGCTGGTCTACTCTTAGCATGTGCCAAGATTACACTGTAATGCGTAGTTCAGGAATTTGCTTATATGCAGCAGCAACATCCGTTTAATTTCTTCCCCCTTTTCCTGTGCTTTTTATCCCCTGCACGAGTAATCCACTGAGGCCTGCACAAATTCTCATTTCAACGCAATAAAAAGATGAAACGCCACTGTAAAAGGAAGCCGGTTATATATGAATATTAGGCGATGAATGACTTATTGTTTGTTTGTCCGGAGAATCACGTTCTTCCCACCGTGCGGCGGCACATGAAAACTTAACAAGAGGAAAACTATTCGCAGGAAGAAACAAAAAAAAGGCTTTCAAGCGAACAACTGAGCATTACTGAATGTTTAATTAATCAGTAGTGACAAAAGGGAACAACAATCAACAAAGAGACTCAGATTTTCCATTTCTTATGCATTATTCCCACTGGCAAATCACAGAGTGCTGTCAACTACCACTTTGCTCGCTACCCCATCACCGTGGATGTCCCTGTACTGCGCCGGCAAAACCCTTGGAGAGATACGTTAGCATTTCAAGCGAGATCCAAAACAATAAGCAGTGGGGATCAAGTAATGGAGTTCAGACAACAAGAGTTCACTGTTATTCCGTGTTTACATGGATTATATTGCACTGTGTTTTGTTCCTTTTTGCTTCCCTCAGCAGCTAACAGAAGTCATGATCACGAGATGCTAAATCGCCTTCCAAGAGCTGACGTCAAGGCTGCAACCTACAGATGGGATTTCCCAAAACAGATTCCATTACATACCTAGCGCCATCTGCCCTAGCATGTTGTGTCAGCTCCGTGACAGGTAACAAGAGGAAGCTTGATGAGAAAACACAATAACAAGCGCATACCGCCCAACAGCAGACCTCGGCACCCACGCTGAACTCGTCCAATGTCAAAACGGCATAAAGACACACTATGATCTCTTTCCTGCTACTGATGGAAACATTTTTCTACAAGACTCCTGCTGCTCTGGGGGTCAGTGGCAAGACTCCCCTGAAGAAAGAAAACAACAAAGTGTACTGATCCACTTACAGGCTTCTGCCAATCCTAGATGGGCTATACATTTGAATGATGTGATCAGCATGCAGTGGTCATTTAAATGCATGGATGGAATGTGAATATATGAATTGAATATATGAATACATTAGCATACGGCAAAATGGAAAGTGTTTGTGTACTAGTTTGTGGAGGAATGAAGAAAGGTAGCTTGTGGCAATTAGCATCTGTCAGTGTTGACAAGCTAAGTGACAGTTAAGTGTAAATGTAGACCATTTATGCTCTTCTGCTATAATTATACTTAAACGCTTGAATGTTGAATTAAAAGGATTCTTGCATAGACTTTTCTACAGCTGCGTTTGTTCAGCTCTCCTGCTGTGTTGAGAAGGGGGGAAAGAAGGTCACGTTTTGAATGCCTTTGATACTAAATAAAGAGATCCACTGTGGTTTCCTAGTCAATTCCCCACAGTTTTTCAACACATTACATCCTGCACTTTCTAATCTTTCCATAAATATTTGATCGCATTGATCACCAGCTCATACCACATAATAGACTGCAAACATGAACATGTTAAACAACGCAATAAAAATACCACACTTTCACCAAATGCTCCACATAATAAGAAAGTGTGGCCCTTCACCTATGCAAAGCGGATAATAGCATTTTCTTAATGCTTGCCAGAAGGCCGAGTGCTGTATGCTGATGTTGCTGAAGAATGTCATGTGCTCATGGTGCTTTTTCAGCCTCTGTAGGATTCAAGTTCAATCAAGCTTTCCTGATGTGGTGATTTGCATTTTTCTTTGGAATTATTTGCAAGTGGGTTATTATGTACACAGTGTTAGCTTTATGCAGGGTCATCCTTATGTAACCATGGTTCTATCTTCCCAGGATCCTATGTTCTTGATATAAACTTACTAACCAACATAAAAACGACACTGATACAAAATGATACTCAAAACCATTTTGCTTTTAAAAGAAAACGCTTAAATCCTTGGTTAAAATACCATGAAACAAAGGCAACACGTTGTTTTATCCCAAAAACGGCTTACACAAAGATATCTTCCCCAAACTGGACACATTTCTATTCTTATTGTAGGTACCACAAACAATTTCACAATTATACACAAAAGGTTCAGCCAAATGTGAGATGTCTTTTTTGTGATTAGTTAAGAATCTGTAACATCGCAAGAGAATTAAAATAACTTTGGCTTGAAGATAAAATAACGAATGTTTATTACTTTAGTAGTAAAAACTTTAGCAAGGGCTTTTCTCGCAGTCTAAAGTGAAAAAGACTAAAGGGAAATGGACGTTTCAATGGCTGTTTAGTCGTTACATCCTTATGCCGATGGATCTTTCTAGCCCCCAAATTAAAAGGTGTAGCTATCAGGGAGTCTAACATAAGTTGGCTTTTAGTTGTAGGTGAGTAACTTCAAAAGCATACATTGTCCTAAGTTAAAACACTTTAGTAAGAGCATAAGATCCTTTGAAAGGTCCCAGTAATGTGTCATAAAGAGGATATAATATTAATAACAATAATTCATTAGATTTATATAGCGCTTTTCCTGGTGCTCAAAGCGCTTACAAGCAAGTAAAACAACATAACAAGAAAAGTATAAAGTGCTAAAATAGGTGGAATGAGGGCGAGGGCTTAATGGATTAGGAGTTGAAGGCAAGAGTGAAAAGGTGTGCATAGAATCATGTAAACATAGAATCAGCCCCTTATTACACAAAGGGAATGGACGTGTCAAATGCTGTTTGATTGGTAAATATTCTTTCAGCCACTGTGGAGATACCAATGTCTCAAGTCCAAGGAATTGTCAAATTTGAAGGTGTAGCTTTCAAGGAGTAAACACAAGTATAGGCTTTAAGTTGTCTGTGAGTGATTTCAATGTTTTGACCCAGTGTAACATACATTGAACGTTTGACCTAATGTAAAGAAAAGAATGCTAAGAAGATCCTAAGAACCCTTGAATGACACCAGTTATGCAGATACAGCCCTGAGTTATGGCTGAAGTTATATGATTTATCTTTGTCCTATTTTCATTTGCCAAAATACTCATAACAAGCAAGCATGTACATGGGCATACTCATTTCCTCTTGTTCCTACTCACTCATTATTTTCATGCAATAACCCATTAGAGATCAGCCGTCCTGGAACTCTCACACACTGATCAGGCTGCAGACCAGAAATGAAATTTGTTTATAATGACTCACCGACACCGGACATCTCTGGAACCGACGCTCGGTACGGGCCTTCGTTGAACTGCGGCGGATTGTCGTTAATGTCCTGGACTTTGATGATGAACTCTGACGGTGGTTCCAGGGGCTGGTCGTTGTCCGCGTTGACGACCTGGGCTGTTAGCGTGTACTCGGCCTTCTCCTCGCGGTCCAGCCTCTTCATGGCGTGGATGTCGCCCGTTAATTCGTTGATTGCGAAGATGGTGCCAGCACCCTCGCCCGCTAGGACGTACTTGATGTTCTTGCCACCCACATCCAAATCTGTGTGTAGCTGCAAGTAAACAGAGATGGAGAATAATGACATTAACAGGTGGAGTCCTCAGTTTGATCCCACTGTGGAAGCAGAGACAGCTGTGGGGGTTGTAATGAATGCAAGTTGATATGCTCAGCAGATTCCGAAGTTCTCAACATATAAATGCATATAACAGTATACATGTAATGTGTTGCTCTTTTTCCTCCTTGCTATGCTCCAACTAGTTTAGCAGGGATACTAAACGTGGCTCAACATAGCCTACACTTTGCTAAATGAGGCCCACTGGGGGCAATAGCTTTATAAGTAGCACAGGAAATGGACCTTAGCCTACATTGTTCCTCATTATACATTGCAAATACATCATACAAACACACAATGTGGGGGGATATTGCTCCCTTCAGTCTGGAATGCACAGAAGCCAGAAGTGCTTTGAATGTGCAAAACAGAGCAGAGAAAAGCATCAAAACCCATGAAAAATGCACGAGGAAACTCTGCACATGATGATTCATGCTGGCAAATAACTAGCCCTAAGTTAGTGGACGCTGCTGCATGTTCCTCATTATTTTTGTAATTACAGTTTCATTAGTTCACTAAGGCTGCATTACGTGCAAGGCTGAGTGGATGGCTCCCACTCGCCGCAGAGCTGAGTATAACTAATGAGTGTGACAATGCTACATTAGGCTGTTGAAACATCTGTAGACCGAGGAAAGGAGCAAAGGCTTCTGTACGTAAAAAAAAAGGTACATTTGCAGCGTAGCGGATACAACAGCACAAGATGACAAAAGGTCATGAGAAAAAGGGACATGAGGGAAGTTTAATTCACATAAACAGACAGAGCACTTATGATACTGTAAGTCACCTTTAATATAAGCCTTTTTGATCCCCGAGGTGAGTGACTTTCAGAGGGGAGGCGCTGAGTAAAACATTTACAAATCCAGCAGTGCTGTGAAACGCCTGTCAGCCCTCTTCCTTTGTATTTTTTCTTAATATACATTCCTCTCAATAACCCACACACACATCTGAGCCCACACTCACGCATACAAACATCTGTATTCAGCAGCTTTAACTTCATTTCCAGCCACAGTGTTCCAACAGCGTTTCCCGTGGGAGCGTGGATAGGTTGCAAAATAGCGAGGTAAAAATATGTCGGGTGAGAATCCCGACCTCTAAACTCACCCCCCGCGCAATGTTTTTATAAGCTGGCTTTTATGCATATACTGTCTCAGAGGTGTTGTTTGCAGACACTGACAAAGCACATTCACTTAAATTGTCACACCTTGCACTTTTGTTTTCCTAATTGTGCCATCATTTCAAATGAATGATGTAGCTCATTAACACAAATGCCTCGCAACATCCTGCCCACTGAGAAACTCTTTAAATGAGCTCAAATTAATGATGGTCTGTCATTGTTTTTTTTATCCTACGTGTGTAGTGGTATGCCTGCAGCTCTGCATGTATGGCTGCATGTTGCTCTCAAAGGGGTGCAAATTAACTATTTCAGCTTGCATATTGGATTTAGTTATGGCATGTATATTTTTAGCAACACATACACAACATAATCTTGATGCATGGCAATTATACTGTAAGGTCACCCATGTACAATTGTATGCATATTGAGGTAGAAATATGTGTTTAATCCGGATATGATTCAAGGTCAAAATTAGTGTTAAAGCTCAAAGTCAACCAAGTTCAGCTTAAATACCTTCAGTGGAAACTGTGCACCCTCAATATGCTGGTGATATATGTTATTTTATGTATGAATATATAAATATGAAAGTGTATTAAGCGTGTGGCTTTGCATCCTTGGCAGGACACCATTGAGACTTTTTGTATCATGTGTTATATGATTAAATAAAAGTTATAAGAAAAGAAATGTAAGAACCATGTGACATAACAAGCAAGGGACCATGGCATCGTTTTTGTCCACTTTTCTTTAGGTCAAGAATAAACCGTCAATCATCCATAACTATCCGTCGACGAACAACCATCCATAACTATGGTTCAATAAGTATAAAATATAGATGAGAGAGTGCACTGGCTTAAAAAACTGAATTTAGGCTTGCTGCTTTTGCTGATTATTCGTCATCATATTTGCAATATAAATGTAGTTTTTTTGTTTTTTGTTGACCATGGAGATTTATGCATCCTGTGAGCAAATTTGTTTCATTGTATTCCCATCACTCTTATTGGAGTCATTTCCTGTCATCTCTGTACTTTCAACTACAAAGGCATAACAATGCCCTTAAAGATAATTCATACTAGAATGGCACTCAGAGAGCTCAGACCTCCGCCAAGGCCAATGGTGATTCCAAAAACGTCAAGGATGGACTCACTTGCTGAGTTTGGAAATCATTCTTCCAACGCAAGTGAGTTTTGAGACGAAATGTGGAAACACAATAGACCCAAAGAACATTTGGTCTGTTTTATTTATATCAGTTTCAGAGTTAAGGGGATGGTCATATACACATTGTCCTGTCAGGAACTTATTTTTTCATAATTTTCCCAATCTCAACGAAATGTAAACATGATGCATGTAACCGTCCAATGATTCCATTCCAAATTGCAATGGGTTCTTCCATTACACCCTTCAGCCAAGAACATAACAATGAGGCCACAAAACAAAACACAAAAAAAAGCCAAAATCTTGATCTTCTTGGCAGACGTACAAATACATTTGTTATAAACTGACATGTTCCTTTATCCTCAAAAACCTGGTTATTGCAATCTGAAAATACAATATTCAACCACAGTTAAAATGTGTTGGCTTATCGTCATGGACTGGTAAGATCATTTAGTTGCTTTATAACTAGGTATGAACTTAGTCAAATTGTTTTCCTCAAAAATCAAGCAGAAAAGTAAGGAAAAACAAATAAAAAAGGTAACAGACCAAAAACTAATCATAGAAAACAGGCTATATTGGCACTAACATGCATGAATTGATATCCACATGCAAAGGTTTGTGTTATCTGAGGGCAGCGCAATGTACAACTAATCATCAAGGTGGAAGGTCATGTACCAGATAAGCCCTGTGAAAGGATATGTAAAACGCAACACATTCCATTGTGTTAGTAGATCAATTCCTCTGCTTGTAACATTCAAATGGAGTTTCAACATTGTGCGCATCTCTATGTAAGCACGAGCCATGGTGTATTTTGGCTGACTAAATCCTCTACTACAAAAACGGCATACTATGTTCTTTCTTTAACAAAAAAGAAAGAAAAGTCTTGCAATCAATCATCACTTTGCTGTAATCTGCCACTTTGTCCATTCCCTGAAAGTTGGTGGGTAACCAGCTGCAGCTCTTTACACTGACGTCTCCTCTAAATGCCCTGGTCGCCCACTTCCTAGACAGCCTTCGCACTGGAGTACACAAACAGTCATCAAAGAGTACAATTACTGAAGGGAGGAATCTGTCACAGGTCCCCGTCATTAAGTGAGTTGCCTGGGCAACTAAAACAGCACCAAGAGTCAGCAACATTGACTGTGGTGCTCAGGAAAGAAAGCGACATTACAGTATCATGATCCCTGACTGTGTTTGAGGACTAACAGTGGCAATAGAGCCTTGTGTTCTTGGCTGTGTAATCTAAAGCCCTATCTGCACAGGGCTGGTATTACCAAGGGACCTCATATGATTCAGAATCACCCCTCGCACATATGTGTTTTGTTTGTGCACATTGTCACAAGGTAAACCTGTGATTTACTGAAATGTACTGCAACGATCCAATGGTATCAGCCTACAGTATACTGTATGTTAAAAATAAGAATATCAGGTTATATGTCATATTTTAAATATTACATTATACATGCCTACTTATATATTATTATGTTCCCCTGTGAATGCTTCCTCAAGGTCTCTATGGGTCGTGTCACCTCCCACATTTCAACCAGAAATGTTGTAAAAAGAAAAGTCAGATTATATTTCTATGGGATTATACAATATGATATCCCATATCATCATATTCTCTACGAGGACACAAAAAGGCATGTCAGAAGCAAAAAAGATTGCAAAAAAAACAACAACTAAAATACACCAATTCGCAGAAGACTACATTTTTTACGAGCTCTGTGTCTGGCAAAATATGGGAGGTAAGCTCTGCCGAATTTTTACTTTACAAAGTTGTGTTCCTATGAAGAGAGCTGCCCGACTACGTGGAAGCGCTGCCCTAACTGTCTGAACCGCTCTAATGGTCGCAGAGCGATGTGCTCTAAGTGCAAAATACTTCAACTTTGATCTCGTTCACAGCTGACATTTGGACTTGCTTCCAATCACATGAGGGCTATGCTAAGCGGCCCCAGCTAGCAGGGGAGGGAACCATAGAAACAACACTTTACTGGCTTTTGTTACCGCAAGGCTCTGCACCCAACATCACGACAACCAAAGATCATGTCATGTGAATGCAGCTAAACCCTAACCCTACTGACATAGCACTGCATTGGAATCACATACAACCTCCACAATTATTACAATTTAAGGTCTCTAGGTAATGAATATGCTTTATTGTATTGGTGTAACAGAATCTATCATGAAGACAAAACACTCATTAGAGAATTAAGTGTGTGTGTATGGGGAAGCTTATAATGACTCTTTCGTTAGCTGCTGTACTCAAATCAGCCATATAGTATGTGGAAGCTGCAGCTCAGAGTGATAAAGAAGGCCTTGGTTGACTGCAGAAATTAACTCGTGGCATAACTTTACAGTACTCTTTTTGCATGGTGCCTGTACTGTTGTGCACAGTACACACACACACACACACACACACACACACACACACACACACACACACACACACACACACACACACACACACACACACACCTTCATTTGCCAACTCCCAATCAGGGGCTGCTTGGGAGTTCTTATTCTGTCAGCGGAGGAGGAAATATGTCAGTCCCTGCTGAAGACGAGCTTTTTACGGCAATCACTTGAACAATCACTGTGTCCTAATGAGGAATATTCTACAGATTCTGCTCCAACCCCACAAACCCCCCCACCCCTGCCTAGGGCTCCCGGGTTCCAC